AAGTACTGTATCAGTTGTAGTTGACGTAGGTTAGTCTACTCACTTATATATATATATATATATATATATATATATATATGTATGTCTGTTCAGTAGAGTCCAGATGAACCTACTCTATATCGTTCCATACTCCAAACTATAGTACCTTCCTCTCACTGCTGGAGTAAGTCCCATAGAGACTGATGGTAGAGATGAGTCATGTGCATGAATCTATATTACATAACAATGTGCCCTCTTCCCACAGTTGGAGGTGAACATTTGAATTCATATTACATAATTAACTCTCTCAACTCAGGCTCTTTGTACTTGTTTAAAGTTAAATACAGTATGTATATCTTCACAAAATTTGGCAGACTTTCAGAAAACATTATAAGTCTTTCACATCCAAAAAAATCATATTTTTTAGTGAAGTATTTTTAATAAACTAAAAAAATATTTGTCTGTGAATATATCGAGTATTTATTTTGACCAGTATGTGTGCAAAGTGATTTTCATTTTAAGATTAAAAATACTTTTATTCATCTCAAAAATCTAAAATTTCATTTGCATAATCTCTAAAACCTCCTAAGTACATTTCAAATGTTTGTTTTCAGTAAAACTTTATATTTTATCTGTTATTTTTGCTACTCCAACTCTATACAAGGTTGGTCAATTTGACCGATCTCGTAACCACCAAACAAAAATTTAAATAAATCTAAATTACTTTTTTTGATTTTTAGATTGACTTCAAATCGTAACATGAAATTAATTCGTTTATACTAAGTAGCTTTAAGCTTGTAACAGTAAACATCTATGTATACTTAAATTTTATTGCCCTATGAACTGTGTCTAACTATTATTCATGCCATTATAAGTTATAAGTCACTTGGGGAACACAAAGCTCACTTTACGCTATTGAATTACGTTAATCGCAAGCTGCTTGCATGTATATCTCGTGAAAATTTTTTATTATATTATATTATTATTTTACCTAATCTGACCTTAATTAACCTAAAGAGATTCCTATTTTTACATTTTAGTTATTTTTATAATAATAGAAAAAGAATAAGCATGAAAAATAAGAAATAAAGTACTTACCCGGGTCTTCTTTTTATTGCTGTCAACTGTTGATCACACTTAGCCCTAATTTTTTATACTAATGGTAGTAATGCACTAAATAATTTGTATTTAATTAAATAATGCATCAAAGAATATAGAATAATAACATGCAAATAGCAGACAATTTCTCTTAACTGTCACAATTATTTTGGCTTTCTAACAATGAGCCGTTACAAATTCATCCAAGTTAGTTTTAACTTTCCTGTGGGAATGAAGCATGTACTAACAGAGAAATTGACAATTCTTTATTCAGAAAACAATGGAATATAATATGGCATTTGAAAATCTTGGTTTTCTGTTGGTTATACATAATATAGAATTAAACATGAGAGAACTATTAACAAATCCTGAAAGAGAGGATGTGACAGGTGGGTGAGGTAAGAGGGGTCTGATTTTCTATTTAATAACACTGTAACCAAAAAAAAATTGATGGCTATAAAAATTGTTTGTTTGAGCAATGACTATTTTTTAGTGAATAATTTAAGTTAAATTTCGTAGTTATTGGAGGGGTGGTGAATAAAATAGAGAAGAGAAAATAAGTCACATTTCTCACACTTGTGGAAATTCTGGATTTTTTTAAGTATTGTATTATAAAATTAAGAACTTAAACTTATATACTATTAAAATATGGATTATTAGCTATGATTTTATGCTATACTAATTGTATAACATAAACAAAAAGTAGTTAAATAAAGTTTTGAATGTAAGTCATGAAAACCTTGTGACATGCGCAATAAATGATTCCCGGGCAGAGAGGGTTAATTTGCTCTTTTTCCACAACATTCTGAATGCACCCCAACTATACTACACATATTGGTTATCTGACCACTTGTGGGCAAATACTTGGACAGTCATATTTGCATTCTACCTGTCCCTGAGACACATGGCTTTTTTGCCTCTTCTCTTTTTCCTTTGTTGATGAAAAGTATACCCTGGATGAGATGAGATGTGGCCTCCCACAAGTGTGCCCCTGCCATCAGGTGTCACACCCCATGGGCTTCCTTCAGTCACATTCTGAAAGATACTCATCTAGGTAAATTTTTGTATTGGTCCCTTCAGCACTTTAACATGGTATTCTAGCTAAACTATGTGAAGATGTGAGGTATCATCTCAGAAGTTAACATTTTCCTTACCTGAAAATGTATTTCTGATAAATATTTACCTCTTCACACCTAACATCTCTTCTTTCTGTGCACCTTTTATTTTTTTCTTACCTTGTCGAAGAATGAAATTTCATAAATGCAACTGCATAGAGGGAGTTATTGTGCATAGAGGTGTGTTACCCTCCTATTGGTAGAGAGCTTTTGTTGCACAACAGCATAACCATGCAGTACTCAATTTACATAATTTCATGCGAAACTAGGTGAGAGTTGCTTCAAGGATTGTGGCATACAAGTCTTTCGGGCAGATGTGTGAAGAAGATAGCTAAACTGTGTACAGGTGAGTATCTATCAGAAATACATTTTAAGATAATGAAAATGTTAACTTAGAAGATACAACTACTTATAAAGAAAAATAAGGCTCCAGGAACTGATAAAGGCATACACTAGCAGATCAAATTTTATATGTAAATGGATGAATCATGCTCAAACTTGTGAATGAAGTTTGTCAAAACAATTCAGAAAAATCATAGTCCTCCTCAAGACTTCTTTGTAACACATTTTAAGGATTAGTATTCATTGTTATATTGTTGAATGTTTAGTTAAGTACTAAAACCTTTATTACCATTAAAACTTGTGTGCTTGAAAATGGTTGCACCAGTGATTGAAACATTGTACCTATTTAATAAAAATATTCTTCCTTACCATTAAAGTTATAACTTCTGAAAAAAATATTTCAGTCACACTGTTTATAGATATTACATATACATGGGTAATCCTTGCCATTCTTTATAAGTAATTGTGTAATGAATCCTGCTTTCAACATGTGTTTCACAATGCATTTATAGTAAATTTGTCATGACAGTTCTGAAATGTTATATATATTGATAAACTTTTCCTTGTTTTACAGTTTATATAGACGACGTTATTGAAATGTGCACGTCATCACGGAGACATTCCACTGAATGCAAGTCATCTTTCCTGAACAGCGTATCACATTCTTGTGAATCAGCACGAGGCTATTGGAATCTTCTATCTGAATCACATGATGCTTTGACTAACCCAGCAGAAAGTCACTTAATGTCTGTCCCAGAGAATCAAGAATCAGTAAGACTGTACTGGAATCCACTTTCCATGTTACACAGTTCTTCCGCCCAAGATGTAGAAAATGTTTCATTTTTATCAGAAAACCCACAACTAACGCAAATAAAAAGATTTAATTTCCCAACTTCACACGATGTAAATTACTCCATCCAGAGTGAAAGACATTCTCCTTCATATCTTTCTGAGAATCTTAAATCATTACAAGTGTCTCACTTAGGTTCACCTTCTGGTGAATGTGCACATCATACAGAAAATAGTGTAATTTCTATTCAAACACAACAAACTGGGCTTCAAGAAGCAGCTATCAATAAATTTAATCAAGCAGGTAATGATAGTGAAGGAAGTAAGTTTCAGGAACTTCAAATGGATGGTGCATATAGTACAAATATTGTTAATTCTATGGGCTTAGACAGGACTAATTTCTTTGAAACTCATTTGAAGCCTAATATGGAAAACAAAAGTAAATTATCATTTCATGAAAGTAAAAATGAAGTAAAGTATGAGAATTTCATGGACAATAAAAGAACTTTGCCTGTTCAGGAAAATTTATTACATCCATCATATGTTAAGAGGTTAAATTCTGATCCTTCCACCTCTGGTGGGGATTCTCTGATTGAACATCATGACCATGTATCTCCAACTTCTCTTCCATTTGGAAGTTCAGAAGATATGATTGTATCAACTCAAGAACAGACAGGAAGATGGCGAGGAGTTGTAGTCCTTATACCAACAAGGCTAGGGGGAGCCGATCTTAATCTCATGTATATTCCATGTATCAAGTCACTTTTAAGTCACGAAAATTGTATTGGTATTATTGGTGGTCGACCCAAGCACTCTCTGTATTTCGTGGGCTGGCAAGGTGTATATTTTGTATTGTTAATGGAGATTTTGAAATGACTGTTTTTTTGTTTTTTTAAAAGGGTGATTCAAAATATTTATTTGTTTATTACTGTTTCTTTTCTTGTATGTTGGTACTTTTGCTTACATCTAAGTAATAATATAGTTTACAAAACACGTATGAGAAACTGTAGCTTGCAACTGATCTTACTTAAATTGTCGTACAGAAGGTGATTTGACTTAAATATCTTCCTTCAATACACAAGGTGAGGTTCCAAACTAATAACTTAAAATAGCACAATAACTCAGTCGTTATAATAAAATAGTAGATGAAATTGTGACAAAGAATACACAGCAGAGTTTGTTATTTGGACAGTGGTTTTATAATAATATCTGAATGTAGGATATAATATAAAAAACTGGGACAAGATAAAAGTGCTTTTTTTCTGATAGTGACAGTTCTTATAAATGTTGATGTTTTTTATAAAAATAAGGCAGTGATTAATAATAGTATATTAAGTTCCTTAATATTTGTGAAGAAATATTCAGTTAGGGTAATTGATATTATCTAAATTAAGCTTTATACATTGAGATCTATTAAAATTAATATCTTAGCTACAAAACTAAGAACAAAAAGTGTTGTACATAAAAGACAGACAAGTAAAACTCAGGTGTAATGTATTATGTGGAAAGGAAAAACATTGTCCTGGTAAGAAAGGTATCACACAGTTCTTCCATCTGAAGTGTAGAAATTACTCTATCGTTTTTGTTATAAAACCTAGGATCAGCATCTTATTGTAATTATATAACATTTATTGTCCTTTAATTTATCTGGGGTAAGAGGAAATATTTATCACATACATTTTGAATACAATAATCACACTGTTTCAGCAGGAAAATTATTTGTATTTTTGTCTTCTAGAGGATAAATTGATTTATCTTGATCCACACTACTGTCAAGAAACAGTTGATGTTCTTGCTCCTGACTTTTCAGTACAGGTAAGAAAGAAAATATGTCTTTAAGTTTGGTTTTAGTTAGAGGATATTATATATATCTATCTTGAAAAATATTTCAACTAAGAAATCAGTATAATAAGAAAGCTGGGATTCTGATGATGCATAGGGGTTACAAATTCATCATATTATAACCTGATGACTATAATTAATTCATGCAAAAATGTATTTACAGTAAACAGAGAGTTTACAGTTGTTGATGTATTAATTGGTTTTTTGATGATAGAATTTATTTGATTATTTTTCAAGGCTTTATTTTGGAAACCATATGACATCATTAAAAATTAAAAACTCGCCAGACAACTGGGATGAAGGTTAATTCTGCTTAGAAAAGCCCTCTAGTGGCTCACCAGTATGTCTGAAAGCTTATAACATTGCAAGTTAGGTTTTGATACCCGTGGTGGGCAGATCATAGATAGCCCATTGTGTCATGTTGTGCTTAACAACAAACAAATCTTGGGTCTTGCTTGGAAAAAATATACATTAAGAAGCTTTCTGCACCAAATTATCTTTTGTCAGATTAAGAGTTGTTTTTCTAAAGAGAATGAAATTTTGTTTTGAAAAAAAAAGTCATTTAGAGTTTATACTTTATATAGAATGATATGAGCATGATAATGTATAAAATAAGGTTATGGCAGATAGATAATTTTTTCATTTCACTACTTTGTTTAATTAATGCAAGATAAAAGTAATAATTTTAGCAAAATTTATTCATTTTGAAATGTTAATTTTTCAGTCATTCCATTGTTCATTTCCTCGAAAGATGTCATTTGCTCGCATGGACCCCAGCTGTACCATTGGCTTTTATTTTCGAGAAAGAGATGAATTTCTAAATTTCTCGGAATCTATAAAAGGGGTATGTCTGTATATAACATCAATATCATTAAGTCTTTGTGAAAAATAAAGCATATAACAATCCATTAATATACATTCATAAAGCAGCCACACTTAATACAACAAATAAGTAAAGAATGAAAAACAAAACATGCCTAAATCTTAAGTATTAGTTTGAGACAAGTCTAAAAGGAAGATTTCATAAAATAACTTTTAAAACAAGAGAAAATATTTTGCTCAAAATTAGTGAAGTTTATCATATTGGAGAATCTCAAAGACAGTTTATTGTTTATTTTGACATAGAAGAAGATTTTATGAAGAAACTGAGGGATCATGGGGATTTGTATAAATTCATATTCGTGGGATTTTTTTTTGTTTGGTGTTGAAGTTTTATTAAAATTTAATAAATGCACCAAATATATTATAAAAAATTATGTATTTTAACTTTTCATACACATAAGTATACAGGTAGATAAAAGTGTGGCTTTATTAACTTCCTTATCTTGATATATATTACTAAAGACAAATTCACACTTAAACCTGTTAACTTCCTTATCTTGATATATATTACTAAAGTACTTAAGTGTGGCTTTACTTTAGTAATATATATCAAGATAAGGAAGTTAATCAGGTTTAAGTGTGAATTTGCTTTAGTAATATATATCAAGATAAGGAAGTTAATATTTAAGTGTGAATTTGCTTTAGTAATATATATCAAGAATAGGAAGTTAATGAGGTTTAAGTGTGGATAAGGATAATGAATTAGTTTATATCTGTTCAAGTTGGCACAAGTTGTAGACCTAAAAGTGCAAACAGCATTTCACAACTAAATATAGGCCTAACCTCAAATACAACATTTCATTATAAAATGAGAAATGTAAACTTATCTAGTTTTCTTAGAGAACCGAATGCATAACTCACCAAATAATACTGCACTTTGACTGCCACTTTAGGAACTGACTGCTTATTCATATTTATAACTAGATTTTAGTTGAATTTACTAGATTTTAACGTCATGCGTTTTCTAGCTAACATCTAAATTAAAACATTGAAAATATAGCTTACAACACTGCCTCATTTGTGGATTGTGATCTTTTAACAATTCAAATATAAAATCACTAAATGTAGACTTATTGCAAGTAACTCCTGGTATGAGTTTTTTACTTCCTGGTGGTACAATGATCACCATCTTTGTTGTCACTGTAAATTCAACCTATGGTGTAGTAATTGTCATATAGTGCACAGGGATTTTCTGATCATAGATTGTGAAGCTATTTGAAGCTAGCCTAATCCTGCATCATTGTGTCCATATAAAATCGGTTACCAATACTCACTCTTCTTTGATATCAATGACCCACACATTGTAAGGCATAAAGAAGTTTCCTTCAGTAAGGGTATCTTCTAGCTTTCTTCTTGCCAGAACTTTATGTTCACTTGCTAATTACATCATTCCCTCTTTTTTCTTCATCTGTGGAGGTAATTTCCTACATTTTATTTCCAAATTGGATCAAATTGTTGTAGCTGTAGAACCAGTGTTGATGAACATACTGGAAGGTTTTTCGTCAATAAACCCATGGTTTATGGATGATTTTTTTGGAAAATGAACTTCTTATCTCTTTTGTGGCAAACAGAGTATTCCAAGGTAAACTTTGCCCCACAAATCCAGCTATTTCCTGTATTTTTTGTGTCTGGTTAGCTCTGTGTTGTTCCTTTGATCTGATTGAGCTACGTCTTCATAGAATTGTCTCCTTAACTTAATAGCAGGTGTTGGTTCCTTATAGTCTCATCTGTAATGGCCATTTTTATTACAATTATAACAGTTCCCTCTTTCTAGTATCCTGTGCAAAGAATTCTCACTTCAGGCTTTAATTTAAAGTGTCTTGCAATATGTCCTTTCAAGTTAATTTTGAAACACCTATTTTCTTGTGGTCTATTTTCTCCATTCTGTGTAACATAACTAACTGTCAGATTAATTCTTCCCGTTCTTCTAGACTATCATTAGGAGGAATTGATGGTTCAATCCTAAACAAGTTGATAATTCCTTAGCTTTGAGATGGTGTCTTTATTAGTTATCTGCAGCTTTAATGGATTCAAGTTTCCTTACCAACTGTAGACCTTCCTTTAAAGATGTAGTCCTTTGCTCTGAATGCTTCTTTCTGGTATGTCACTCTGAGTATGTTGAATAAGTCATGTCAGCTACCCATGCTTGATAGTTGTTATGGCTCTCAGTGAGAAGGTTACTTAATTTCATCAAAGCTATCCTTTTAAATAAGCAGTTATATGAATAGCTTGTTCACAATTCCACCTATTCACTCTGGAAATGATTCTGATTTTGAACTGAGCCTGACATGCTTCCCATCATAGTCCATTAGTTTCTCAATTAGGTAATAATGGTAAATCAGCCAGCTAAATTCTGGAACTATATTTGGCAGTGACATAATTGGAATAGTTCATGAAAATTGTACAGTGACAGATGCCACAGCAGTAGTGGTAGCAGGTTCTCCTATTTCATATTCAGTAGTAAATGGTGGTTTAGGTTAAAATTCATGAGCTGATGCAGAAAGCAATTTGCTGGTTTGATTTTTACATTTACGAAATCTTTTTAAAAATTTATTATTCCTTCATTAACGTCCTTTTGTATTTGCTGTTATGATCTGTCTCTACTTGTTCAGCTTTAGCCTGTCAGCTGCATCACTTCCCAAAACTTTGCTACACACTCCCATCCAGATATAATTCCTCTTCCTCTACCTTCTCTAATGCTGTTCCTCCATTTCCAACTGCTTGTTGAATATTTTGTCTCTGTCTCACCCTTGGACTTCCTATGGGCCTTTTTCCAATTGGTATCCACTCCATACTTTTTTTGGGGGTATCTCTCTTCACCCAACTGCTTGACATGCCCATACTTGTTTCAAGGCTCTGCTTATATTGCTAGAGCAAGTGTTAAATCCCCCAGCAGCCTATTAGGCCTGTCCTTGGTTCTCAGGATTACTAATTAGTATCATTCCTGTGTCTCTGGCTCACATATGGTTAAAAATCTACTGTTACTAGACTCGGGGGATTCTTTACTACATTGATGTTTTTCTATACCTCTTCAGTCTTGTTCTTATCCCTCCATACATTTCAAATAGTTTTGTGAATCTTGTCTTCATTGAAATTTATATTTGTTCTTAATTTATTCTTTAAATATTAGATCTCTTTCTGTTAACTCCTCTCTTAAATTCCCTCTCTCGTTATATATTCTTGTTAAATACTTCACTTTGACTTGCATTTTATGAACTAACTGCTTGCTCAGATTTATAACTAATATACCCATCTAAATCTTAGTCAAATTTACTAGATCTTAACCTCATGCTCTAGCTAACATCTAAATTACATATTGAGAATGTAGTTTACGACAATGTAATATACTGTGTAAATTGCATTTATTTATGAGTTTAATACTCAAATTAATAATGGTTATTTTTGAATACGTTGCTAAGTTGCATTTTTATGACTTTTATTATTAAAATATTTTAAATTATTTATTAAAAACTTGCCTCTTTTTTGTTTAAGTTTTGCTAAACTGTGAACAAGAAGCTTTTATGCAAATTCACCTGTAAAAATAATACATACAAAATTTATATGTCAATAGTCTCATTAATATAGATAATTTTACATATTAGTATTGTAATAGCTAGAAAAGCAGAATATTTTAATCTCAAGAACAAATTATTACAGTAACTTTCTATTACATAATTATATGATCTCATAAAAATTATTATTTAAATCAAAAGAGAGTTTTTACCAACTTTACCTGTCTGTTTTAAAGTTTGTTGAAGAGTTATTTTGATCTGCTAATGCAGGTTTACATCAGCTAAGTAAAGGTAAGTTTGTAGATATATCACCCAAAAAATTATTTTTTACATCTTTGTGCATGAGAAAACTTACACACACTAATTTCTCATTACATTTCAAATTCATCCATTATCTGATCAAGATACACAGTAGTGTGTCATGTGGACAAAACAACCTGCTGCAGGACACACCGTGTGTTATTAACAGTAGTGGTAGTTAACTGATTTTCCACCTTCTGTATCTCGTACTGTGGTAATCCAAACTGTTACATATTTTCAGTGGATGTGCTCTACTGGACTCTTACTTTACATACTGAATTTCAAGGCACTCAATTAAGAAATACCTGAGATATAACATCTCCAATTTTGATTGAGTTTCTTCCTTTTTTTTTCTTCTTTACACCAAAAGTACGGAAATTTTATTTGATAGAAAAACATACTTAACTCTAATCAATTTTTTTTTTCAAATTTAGTACACATATAGATATTTTCAACCCACATTTAGAAGTCTCAGTTGGTGTAAGTATAAGCCACATGTACAAAGTTATTTAAGAAAAACTGCTCAAATTTGCTGAATATTTTTGTGCACTCCCACGTAAAAAGTCACAATAGCTAGTGGTCTAACGTTTTTACTACAGCTTCAACTAAGAGTAAAAGTGGACAGTTTTTATTTTTTTTGTCATTCAGGTTAAAGAAGGCTAATTTAGAGCACAAAACTCTAAGGAGAAAAGAAGAGCAGGTACATAAGTATTGGTTTGGCCAAGCAAACTACATTAGCAATATCTAGCTCAAGTTTTCAAAAGAATTATATGGGTGGACAGTTATTATTGACTATTCATTGCTAACTTTTCAGCACAAATTTACTAAGTTTAATGAAATTCTCCTAATTAAAGAGCATATAGTGTCATGTGATATTAGCTTAAGCAATTAGCATAAATAATGATGCTTGATACGGCTGTATCGATTGCATGGATGTGATGACAAGAAACTGTTAATCTAAATTCCATGGTGTTACTAAAAAGGAAGCTGTTAATACTGTTTTAGAGAGGACAAACTACCACTATATATTTTAAAGAATCTGGTTGGTTCTGTTCCGAATAATAGGGTTGCGATCCTAAAGCTAATGTGGGCTACTATTGAGTCTCACTTTCTTACTTACTTTAGTTTGTTAGTGTGTATCGACAAAAAGTCATGATATCTAATCCAAAACACCTTAGATGTGAAAAAAAGATGCAGCCATAAAAGGACTGAGTGTGTGACTTAAAGGAATGAAATCAAAACTTGCGACCAAACTGGTAGCTACACTTATAGCATTGATAAGAATTTTACAGCAAATATTCATTGATTAGTTAGCCAAGCCGCGTTTTTTGTTCAACTTGGGGCATGATGGTCGGTTTGGCTGCCAATTTTGATTTCATTCCTTTAAGTTGCACACTCAGTCCTTTTTTGGTCGCACAGTCTTTTCACACATTAGGTGTTTTTGATTAGATAAATGTAGCATCAGTTTCTATTTTTGTTTTCATCATAAATGCACACACACACACACACACAACAGCCTTCATGTCTCTTTTAGCAGATTTTTCACATGGCCCAGCTTCCTTCATAGAAAGCTACATATAGTCACCTAGATTGGCCTAATAAAGACCTGCAATGTAAACTTGCAGATCAAAAGAACTTTTTCAAATAAGCTTTAAAATAGATGAAATCCATTAAATCTTTGGGGCAAATTATGATCTTCCATTTCAACCTACTTACACTTACTAAATGTTTGATATAATAAACTGTGTTTAAACTTTCAGTGTCTTGTTTTTGAATTATTAAGGTACATTGTAAAATACAGCTGTAAATAGAAGTAACATGATGCATAATATTATGAAAAAGAAATAACTTGACAAATTTTAGTATTTAACTTTGATGCACTCATGTTTTTGACTGATCTCTGATAAAGGATTTAAACAGAAGATGTTGCAGTGAAATGTCTTAATGCATTAAACGTTTATGAGCAATAATTTTGTGAATTTTCTTATCACTAGGTGCTAGTCCAGTCCCATCAACAAGCAGAATATCCAGTGTTTGTAGTGGCAAATGGTCACTCTTCAACAACATTAGATGCATCTGATACATATTCGTGGAGACTTCTGGAAGAAGAGATGAAGTTAGAAAATTGTAGTCAATCAGCAGATTTCTTGGATAACAATGAAGAAGAAGGATTAGAAAGTCACGACTTTGTACTCTTATGAGTTTCTTGTACAAATCATTGTAATTTAGTTAGCAGGAATGTTTTCAGTGAAAGGCACATTAGAGAAGCCAACAAATTATTTTCTATTAGTAGGCATAAAAAATAGGGCAAGATATTTTGATAGTAGGGCACACATACATACGTCAACTTACAACAACAGTTTATAGTCAACTTTTCTTATCTGTATTGTATAATAGTTGTAGGCCAATATTACAAATTGTAGTTAACACTAAAAATTATTATTTGACTTTTAAGTAATAGTGTTTATAAGCTGTGTGCTCTGAAAGCTGTTTAGTTAATCAACAGTGTTATTATATACTGAACAAATGATTATCAAATTTTAACAATATTTTGATCCTCTCCAACATTTTATACTTAGTAAGGAAATGGTTTTTCTTTTTCAAAGCTATGGGTGCACGTATCTGTCTTATATGCCCATTTCTTTATCATCATTAATGTGATTATTTTTATGTTTAAAGATGTTCATTTGTGAATAGTTAAACAGTAGCCTTGGTGGTTGTACCTTTAAAGATATTATTGAAGTCAAAGTATAATTCATTTAAATTTCAATTACTTACTAGTTTCAGTATTTTATAATTGGCTTGAATTATAAGTTATTTAGTTTGTAAACAGAATTAAGAACTTCAGAATATTTGATAATCATGATAGGTAACACCTTGTATCAACTGTTTTTTTTTTGTAAACAATGTATAAAAATGTAGCCTTTAGGTGAGGTAACATAATGTTTTTTTTGTATTACACCTTTTTTATAATAACGACAAAGATAGTTGCACAAAATTGGTAATGTTTAAAATGTTAAAATAGAACAAGTACTTTTTTTTCAGATTTGTTGTGGTACAATATATTAAAATCATCAAATTATTTTGTCTTCTCTCGCCCACTGTAAAAAATATTAAAACAGCAAATAAACCATTAAATAAAAATCAATGTTACATATTGATAACTAGCATTAATTTTGATTTTTATATTTTGCTTTTCACACTTTTTTATATTTTCTAATTTTTACAAATTGAAGCTATACTTTAGGTTATTTTGTTTTTGTTCTTCAGTTTAATTTTAACAAGTATTCACTATGCTTTTGGCAAAGTAAATAACAGTCTGAAAGACAATTCTGAAATTGAAGTAGCTCCATTGATAATATTTCTAAAGAAACTGGATATAATTTCAACATATTATTTATTTTTTGTGAACATATTCACTGAAAATAAATTTTAGTTTGAATTGTATTTATACTGCTGGTTTTATATCTGACATAAATCTTAACTTTGTATTATTTTAACCAATGAGAAAAAATCTTCCCTGTGGGTCTGAGGAATCTGATATTAAATTCATCCTAATCTAAAACAGGGCTAACACTACAAGGATGCTTGAACTGTAAATGTTATTTTAGTTACAGATAGTTTATCAGCTTAAAAAAAATTGTAATGAGAAAATATATCTAGTTTTAAATTCCAATATAATTAATAGTATTTAGGAGCTGTTGTTAGGGTGCTCAACTCACAATCTGAGGATCGTGGGTTTGAATCCCCATCCCACCAAATATGCTCACTCTTTTAGCTGTGGGGGCATTATAACATGACAATCAATCCCACTACTCGTTGTTAAAAGAGTAGCCGAAGAGTTGATGGTGGGTGATGTTGACTAGCTCCCTTCCATGTAGTCTTTCACTGCTAAATTAGGGATGGTTAACAAAGATAGCCCTCGTGTAGCTTTGCTTGAAATTCAAACCAAACACACACACACACACACACACACACACACACACACACACATATACATACATACATACATATATATTTCCAAATGATTTGGTTTTAAGACTCCCATAGTCATATGGATGGCTTCTACATCAACACTTGTTCTGTTCCATATATTCGAAATGGCGAATACACGTGAAAAAGATGTGTATTACTGTATATAAAATATTTGCAGTTTATTCCAAACATAACAAAGTATTTGTGAAATTTTGTGCATTATATAATTTTTTTTACATTAGTTTCGAAAGAAATTGATTATAAATATAGATGAAGAATATTAAATTTTGAATATACTTTGAATTTTTTTTTACATTAGGATAAAGAGGCCCTGTATCTATAAAATTTTGTGTATGATTTATATTTGTTTGCAGATATTACTAAACAGTTATTGTGTTGAACAGTAGCTTTCATTTTAATCAATATATTACATATTTTCTGTTATTCAAAACATGGGAAGTAAATATAATTTAGCCTTTACAAGTTGCACCATAGTTTAAGATGTATTAGAACAAATCGGATGACTGCTTTTTCTTGGGACATCAGAGATTGAGTAAGATACTCTGTACAAAACACGTAAAGAATTATTGAAATTTGCAATATAATAAGACAAAACCATTGCAATGAAATAATATCAATCAACAATCCCTGTTCATTTGTATATGAATCAAGCATATAGTGATCAGCTATACTAAAATTTGTTTGGTCAATGAAGTGGCCATGGGATTCTATTTTTTACCTAGTTGTGGTAGAATATAATTCCAAATATTGCCACTTTCTAGGCCTTGATCTTGAATAATGCTTGGGTCACTGATAATATATCAAAGAACTTCTTTAATTTTAATGAGATTATGATGGGTAGCATGAAAATTTTCAAAAATGGTGGTAAGTTTCTGAAATGGAACGCTCAAACTGTGTTGTAATTGGTCAATTACTTCAACAGCGGTCAAACTTCTATCTTCAATTATGTTATATAAAGAACATAAAAACTGTTATATGGCATCCAACAACCAATTTTAAAAACTAATAATCTCGGATCTAAACAGGAGAGCACGGCCTCACTGGTGTGTGTGATATTATGGGCAATGAATGACTGGAAGTGTATGATATAGTTTAAGAATCATATTTTGATTGTAGAGTAAAAATACCCAGAAATTCAAACAAGACATTCCACTCAGTCTTTGGTGTTCTGAAAATGGAAGTTACAGTGAGATGGTGTAATGATTTAGGGGAACATTTTAGTGGTGTGAGTTGAGAACCTTGATTGATTTAGAGTAATGAAGAACATGGAGAATGTATCTGAACATTGTTGCCAAATATGTTCATTACACATTGCTGAATGTTTGCCTTATGGACAAGAGATCTTCTTAAACAATAATCCAGCAGTCTACTGCAATGGTTCCCAAACGTTTAAGTTCAATGCTGGAGGAAGAAGTATTTAGCACCTGACCCTCCCTGCTTTATTAAAGACCAAAATACCGGTCCTGAGAAGAAGTTCAATGCATAAGCGACGCTCGAGATGTAATTAAAGGACTGTGAAACAGAGAGAGAGAAGAAAAAAAAAACGTTGAAATTTTGTTCCATTCAGGCAACCAACGCAACACAAGCTTGTAGACTTATAGATGTCGTAGTTCTGTTTCCAGGCTTTTTTAGTTGATTACGCTACTTTATTTTGTGTTACACTAAGAGGGAAAATCCCGATTCCCAGAATTATTTAAATGTGATGCTTTATAAGAATTGTCGTTACTTTATTTCTGTTTCTTTGTTTGTAGTTATACACAATGGGCTATCTGTGCTCTGCCCACCACGGGAATCGAAATCCGGTTTTTAGCGTTGTAAGTACGCAGACATACCGCTGTGCCACTGGGGGGCTGCTTTATTTCTACTACATAAAGTGTAATAAGTTATAAAATGGGGTTATATACTTTGGAAGGCAGCTCAACCTGATAATAAGTGGGGTTGTAATAGAGTGGTTGGACACTATACATTTAGTGAAAAACCACAGTAAACGGAACAAACTAGTTTCGACACATTCGTGCGTCCTGTTCAGTCTCACAGTCTTATGGCAGGAAAAAACTGGTCATAGAATGGACATATTTGTTTAGGGAACTAAGATACCGAAATACATTATCAGTGGTGGTGAGTTTGTGCGGTAAGGTGACATACAAGCCAAGAACGTACGTACCATTTTCATGTATGTAGCTCAAGTTTGTTGTTCAAATTTATACATGAGAAGTCGTTGATTAGTGGTGAAAGCAATCCTAGGGTTGAAAGTAGGCATTGCAAAAACAACAAGAAATTAGGATAAACAACAATTTCATGCTTCCTGAAAGAATGTACTGATAGTTTGATTTTAGTTTTAGGGACATTACGTTCGTGGAATTATAAATACTACGCAGCTGGATTGTTTAAAAACATATTAACATGGCCAAACTAAAAAAAAAAAAAAACAATCAAGTTGTACTTTTATTCCTGTACATTTTGTCTTAGAATTGGTCGCTTGAAAGATGTCGTTACACTAGAAGGCTTCTACCACTTGCACAAAAACAAAGTTACGCTTACCATTAGCAGATTCGTCGGAACCGGGGGTAATGTAGCACCCCCACTTTTACATATTTGACTTATATAGCAACTGTAAATTATTATATTACTTTTCTGGGGAGCATGCCCTCAGACCCCTTAGATTGAACTGCCTTTGGGAGCATGGGAGCTGCTTTTAGCATATCCTTATACTTTCAATCTCTCATTGTAATATTTGCATGTCTAGCCAAGCACCCCCACTTAGCAACTCCTTCCTACAGCACTGATTGGGCGAGCTGAAAGCAAGGTGAATGTACTGTAGTTATTGTAAGCCTAAGACTCACATTGGATGGTTTATATAGCTGTGAACATAAACATGTTATTATTATTTCATGGTTTTGTAGCATTATTCTTGATTATCCTCTGTAGTCTTGTAATGATATCGATTTTGTTCAGCAATATTCTTAGGATTTTGGTGTTGCTTTTTGTATTGCTACGTCTCTGTTCGTTTATTAATTTCCGGTATAAATTCTTTCCGAGGAACTTCAGCGATACAAGCCCTTTCTGAAATAAAACTAGTTTATTCTTTCCAGATACAACTTTGAAATCCACAAAATT